CCCGCCCTGATGGACACGCCCGTAGCTCGCCCCCGGCATCCTGGACAAGCTGTTCGACTTCGCCCGCTTCCTCTACGACCTCGGTGTCTACGAGAAGGCCGCCCAGCTCCTGCCCTACATCCGTATGCTTGTGCGTCCCCCCATGCCATGCTGCGCCTTCGCCCCCGCGTTTGACCGCCCATCCGCGCACGCACGCGCACTTCCTCCGCCGCCCCCCCTGGTATGCTGACCGGCCCTCCCCCCCCCACCGCCGGTCCTAGGCCACCGACCCCGCCAAGTCCCTGGCCGCCGCCTGGGGCCACCTCGCCTGCTGCATCCTCACCAACAAGTGGGACTCCGCCAAGGAGATCATTCTGTCCCTGCGCGATGAGCTGTCCACCAAGAAGGTATGTCTCCTCTCCCTCCTCCTCCCCCCCCCTGTGCATTCTCACCCTCCGCGCCTGCCGCATTGTTTTTGCATCCTCCTCCTCCTCCTCCTCCTCCTCCTCCTCCGCCTCCTCCTCCGCCTAGGCCCTTCTCTCCCCTCCCAATCACGCACACACATCCCCCGCCACCTCCCCTCCACCCCCTGACGCGCCTGCCCACGCCGCCGCCACCACCACCCAGATCCGTCATGGCCCCCCAGCTTGAGTTTGATCTCACCCAGGTCCTGTGCCAGTTCCTGGACCCGCACCTGGCTCTGCGCCTCATCGAGTTCGCTGAGAAGCGCCAGGTCTACAACGAGAAGGACATCCTCCAGGCCAAGTTCGACATCGTCAAGAAGACCACCATCCCCGACCTGATCAGCCAGGTGTTCTCGGAGCTGTACCCCGGTCAGCCCCTCCCGGCCGGTGCGCAGCTTTCCCGGCCCCCTCCCCCCGCCGCGCCGGCCCCCGTGCACACGCATGCCATCCGCCACCCTGACCCCCACTCCGCTTCCTGGGCCCATCTCCCCCTTCCCCCCACCCCCCCCCTTTTGGCTGCCGGCACGCAGAGTACGATGTTGACCTCGAGGAGAAGCGCGACCTCCTGCTCGAGGAGTACCAGGAGTCCTGTGGCGAGATCATGCCCATCCTCCAGGATGGTGAGCTCGTCGAGACCCTCCGCCAGGATGGCACCTTCACCCTGGCCTTCCTGATCAGCGAGTACAAGGTACGCATGTGTCCTGGACACGCCCCTGCCCGCCGCCCGCTGCCCGGCCCTCGATCTCACGCCCCTCTTGCGTATGTATGTGTGTCTGCATGCCGCCTATGCGCGCACCCGGACCCTACCC